TTTTTTTTTTAAATCGGAGCCTGCATCTCTTTGCATTAAAAGTGGGCAATGAAGATAGCTCAATCTTAGGGGGAGTGTAGTGATGGGCGAGAAATTTTAAGTCACCAATCTATACTCAACAGCACTTAACAACAATAACAATCTCCTAATAAAGATTCCCCAGGATCTGTCTCCCTACTGTGGACATGTTTTCTAGGCATCTACAAACAATGAGAATCTTGTTCTTTCCTTTTCCCATTCCTCACAGCATCTCTAGAGACCTTGGTACCTGGGTCTTTAAAGGGTGGGCTCTGAAGCTCAACAGAACTGAGAGTTGCAAACAATAATAAGATACCAACATAAGACATTTCCTTAGATTCCATGGTGGGTAACAGAAAATCAAAATCCCTTAGCTGGGATTTTACCCTTGATAACAAAAGTGTTTCTTCTACCCAAAGGAGTTAGACAGGAAGGGAGAACATGAGGCACTTTGTTGGGAAGTTAAATCAGAAAGGAAAAGTCTTGTTTGCCTTACTTCCCATAGACTTAAAGCAGAAGTCGGGGGAGTCAAGGAAGACAGGAAAGTGATAGGAAAATAAAGAAATGAGGTAAGAAAACATAAATGAAAGACAAATTAAAATGCAGAGGGTTCCACTCCTCTCAACTGCATTTCTCCTTTTCTTTACTCTTTTCTGGTTTTCTATATGTAGGTGTGGTGCTGTGGACTAATGTGTCAGACTGCAAAGTTGTTTGAACTTCAAGGTTGGTGGTTCAAGCTCCTTGGATACCCCTATACAGGGTCTCTGTGGCTTGGAATCGACTCAAAGGTACTTCAACAACAACAATATGTAAGATAGGAGTCCTGGTTTAGCGCTGTAGGATAAGCACTGGACCAAGGTGTCAGTTTGAGCCACCTATCAGTCACTCCGCAAAAAGCTTATATAGGGTGGCTATGAGTTGGAATCTACTCGAGGGCACTTAACACCAACAGCAACATATGCAGGATAAGCACAGGACTGCAAGGTCAATTTGAATTGCAAGGTGGCAGTTCAAACGCAACAGCCACTCCTCAGAAACCCTACAGAAAGTTGCTATGAGTCGGAACTGGCTCAGTGAAACTTAACAACACCCTCACACAGCCACAGGAAAAATGCAAACCTTTAGAATTCATATAAGTAAAATGCCACTTTTGATGCTTTCTACTTCTTAAACTCCCTCTGGCTGCTCTAGGGTGACCTGCTATCTGGCTAACAACGTTCATCTCATTATTTGCCTAAGTGGTGGTGGTGGTGGTGTGCTATGGAGTCAGTTCCAACTCATGGCACCCCTGTATAGGTTTTCTGAGGCTGAAAATCTTTATGGGAGCAAAAAGCCCCATATTTTCCCTGTGGAATGGCTGGTAGTTTTCAACTGCTGACCTTGAGATTAGTAGACTGACTCGTAACTACTATATAAAGGTAAGATCATTTGTAAAGTGCTAACCCATTCTAGAGTCCTGGTGTGGTACTGCAGGCTAATGTGCTGGATTATAAGGTCTGTTTGACCCACAATGTCGGTGGTTCAAGGCTCCTCAGAAACCCTATATATGGTCGCTATGAGTCAGAACTGATACACAGCACTTAACAACAACAACCCATTCTATAAGCTAGTACTCACAGGCCCTAGCACTAGAAGGCCATTTAGGATCATGGGATTCAATGCATACCCTACTCTCTCTCCTCATTCCTATCGGCCACCACTCACCCTATCCCCTCCCATCCAAACACAGCAGTGTGCACCACTCAATGCACACAGAAGGGCATGTACACACATCCACAAGCCTACTGTCATACACTCTACACATACACATAACCAAAGACTTTCTTCTACCAAGGGTCTGTCAGGCATCCAGATACGAAGGTTATGACATTAATAACATTTAACCAGTTAATGTTGAATCATTTCCAACTCATGATAACCTCATGTGTGTCAGAGAAGAACTGTGCTCCTTAGGATTTGCAATGGCTGACTTTTTCTGAAGTGGATCACCTGCCTTTTTTATGAGGTTTCTCCGGGTAGACTCAAACCTCCAACCTTTAGGTTAGCAGCCAAGTGCAGTTATTAAACATTTGCACCACTTGTGGGTTAAAGACTAGCCTTAGGTACCCCACCTCCACTTAAGAAAAACAAGCAAAAAAGCATTCCATTTTTGCAGTCTCAGTTTCTTTCTCACATAGCTAGACAAAAAATCCTAGTTTCTCCAGATATTCCTTTCCCCATTAACCCTTCATTAACATTTCATTTACTTTTCCATTTGCCTTCCCAGTTCATCCTCCTCTCACTTCAAGTTTCTATGGCCCTAAATCACAGAATGGAAAAACTGAAGTCAGTTAACCCAACCATCTAAAATATCAATGTCATAGGGAATGGCAGACCCACTAAGCAGTGAATATATATATATATATATATATATATACACATATGCTGAACAGAGAAAACCCAGATCTGCAGCAGCCCATCAAAGAGCTTTTACCCGTTCTCCCACAATGTCTCAAAACGTATGTTTACTTTAGATAATAACCACTGGAACTAAGGGGGGGGGGTCATTAAATTCTCTCCTACAAAAAAAACTAAATATTGGTTCCACCCACAAGGCCCACCCAAAAGGGATCAATGGGTAATTAATAAGAATTATTGTCAGCAAACTTCCCAGATCAGACTTATATCATGGCATCCAACTGAAAGGGAAAAAAACAAAACAACCTCAGCATTTCACCCACAGAGTCAAGTAAAGTGAGCTTTGAGGCAGAAAAATCTGGTCATATGCCATTAAATAATATTCTGTGTCCTGTGGTCAGGACAATTACGAGAGATTCCTTCACAGCCCCTCTCTCTTCACAACCATTTCCAAGGAGACTGAGCAAAGGCACAGGAGACTTGGTAGTACAATACCAACAGGTTTGCATATTATACATGAGCAGCCACCCATGTGGATGTAGGCAGAACATGTGTGTTGGTGTGTGTATGCATCAAATCATTGCTATATAAGCCAGAAATGGCACTTTATCAAGTCAGGTAAGCAACGGAATAAGAGACCTACCTAGTTTATCACCCGGGGGAGGAGGGGAAGTATTATGATGCACATTGGCATCAGAGGCAATTTTTCTTGTCTATCTATGCCAAGAGCTTTCTCAGTGGATACAGAAACATAAAAATTATAACAGTAACCATCACCACTACCATCTGATGCAAAAGAGCAAACATGTCTCAAATTGGAAAGCAATATTGCTTTGAGCTCAAATATTTCCCCAAAATTCGTATCAAATTCTATCTGGGGAGAGGTAGTCAAATTCTCAGTTTAGAACATTATAAACTTTCATTTTTTTCTGGAAATGTTTCAATTAGAAAGAATTCTAATCTTATCACATAAGCAAGCAAATAAGACCACCACCAATTTTTCACAAGTATTATCAAGTTCTATTTAAAATGCAATCCAAGAAAAATCATTGCAAATGTGATCAACCAAACAAGTCATACACAAATACCATTATTCCCAAAGTCAAGTCAGTAAAGAGGTGATTTTTTTGTCTTTTAGAGGAGACACATAAACAGAAAACCCTAAACTCAAACCCAGTTGGGCAGTCACTGGAAAAAAAGAACACAAACAGCTTTTTGGAAATGCCCTCTCCTGCCATAAAGACCAGAGAACACTTTTATGTTCCATTCCATGATTCCAAATAAATAGACTTTTTATGTTTAAAAAAAAAAATGTTTTAAAGGTGGTTTACAAATTAGAAACTGAAACCCGGACAACAAATTAAGATTCAAAGACAGTCACCAACAGCCAGCTCAATGCATCCCACCACATCATTTCTCAAATTCTCGCTTCTGGTTAAAAGGCTAAAAGAATTGTTTTCCCTAAATTCATTCCTTGCATGGAATTTTTTTCCTCTAAACATCCAGTGTAAGACTTTTTCTCCTGCGAAGTAAAAAACCATCATACTCTTCCACAAATCCCCTTGCCCTAAACCCAAATGCACTCCTGATCACAAGAGATAAATTTAAATAAAATTCAGATTGTAATTTAAAGGTAGTTTCCAAGAAAATTAGTAGACAAAACATCACAAACAGCAAAGCCAGTTTAAGGATGCAGAGATTACTCTGTGAATGTCACAAAGAATTCGCGCGCACGCACGCACACACACACACACACACACACACCAACACTTAAGTGGAAAGCATTTCATTATTAACAATTTCACTCAAGTAATAAGTAACTACATTCATAGGCATGCTTCAGAAACAAGATATGACAAAAGATTTATGGAGAGATAATATACCAACGTCATACATATCACAGCGAGGCCATGTTGAAGCTCATAACGTTTTCCCCCCTGAATAAGAAAAGCTTGCTCTCTCTCTCCCTCTCTCTCCC